TATATATATATATATATATATATATATATATATATATATATATATCGACCATCAAACTGCAATATTTCCGTTAACTAACATATTGACATACGAAATTTGCATCACTTCTGATCGAAATTTTGATGATTCGGAGATCTATCGCCATTCAAACACTCATTTGGAGGGACAGACATTTAGGTATTACCATTGAATCTGCCTCATAAATTCTGATAGGGAGTATTCTGATAGCAACAAATTGTTAACACCAACCAAACGGTCGAATTGTCCTTAAATCTTAATGATATATCTATCCCCCTGCCAGCCTTATCATCCTGCATCATAGAAGAAGCATCAGTTTCTGAGATATAATCGAAATCAAACAATTGGGGTTGTCTAATCCCGACAGACATCCTCCTATTCCCCTCAGACCTTTCCCCACACATATAGCAGCCGTCGGATCAACCCTATCTCTCTGTTTCACGATATTTGGGCCAAAGTCTTTTGTACTTATTGTTTGATTTTAACATAATGTATATAAATTAAATTTTATTTATACACTTCATTTATTAATCTTCTTAGTTCATTGTATTTGACTGTGAGAGGAGACACATTAACAAATATATATTATAATTCCCAATGATGGTGGAAATAATCAAATATAATATTTTTTGTATTTTAATGTTCTTGAAATCTATATTTATCATTTGCAAGAGAGATGCCATGTTTATTCAAAGTCATAATGTCTTTGATAATTAGATCTTAGCTTGACATTATGGATACAATGGAGTGGGCTCTGCACATCGAGTTATGATTATTTCGAAATATTCATCATATCAATCTATTTATTACCTCCACATAAATACATGCGTTTAATCGAGTGACTGTTCCAATGAAAGTTCAACGATTCACTCCAAAGAGATAAATCCAAATGAACACACGTAATAGGATTATTGTGATGAGTGAGGAGGGGGGTCTTACTTAATCCATGCCTAATGCTATAGAATCGATGGATTCAACCAAACATGATGAGAGAGTTCAACTGATACCAAAATTCTTGAGCATAAGTGTCACTCATGTTCTCTGATCTGCATACAGATTAATCCTGAGAGTAGTAAAACATGTCAAGGACTTGGACATATTTCCACTTCATCAGACACAGCTAAAGAGAACATCTCCTAGATATAAAAAGGTAGAACCATCTACAATCTGAAACTAGTAACTTCAAATGTCATGCAAAGCAATGGAATACATGCAGGAAGAGTAAGTTCACAGTACTTACGTGCTACACCAAGTGCTACAAAATCTGCATATCAGATCGAGTCCCATTTACCATAACCATCACCGCCATATGAAGGCGTCCGATTTCTCATGTAAGTATAAGGTTTTGGAAGTCCATCATGAACGAGCATTTGATCTGTTGTCAAGCCTGAGTATGCAAAGGAATATGTACTCAAAGGAGGCTCTTGGGTACCTAAACGGGAATCGAAATACTGCTTATGTGTGGAGCTTCCAGATCTGCTTGGAAAGGATGTTCTTAAATCTGAAGGCAGGGAACACCTGTCGAAAGCAGGAATTCCTATTCCCGGGGAGTAAGTGTTGAAATGCTGCTTTCCTAGGGAAACACCAATTTCATTTGGGAAGTGAATCTTGTCAGCCGTCGATCCCGAGCAAGGTTGGGAACACAGAAGTGGACTAGGAAGGTCCATACCTGGAAGGTAATTACTGAATTTCAATGTCCCCATGGATTCCTTGGACACATATGGAATAATTGACCCACGACGATCACTTGTAGTGATGGCGTATCCAAGATGAGGATGGCCAGCTGCCAAACTTAATCCTGAACCATGGTATTCATGCTCTGAATTTTGTGACTGATGAGAATGGTCGGTTGGTATTCTGAACAGGCCAACAGAACAAACGGGAACTTTGGAAGATTCATCAGATACAACAGCCCTAACATGGTAGTTGCTCTGTGCTGGTAAAGCCTTGATGGCTGGATATGGCAAAGGCAACTTATGGAGCTCTTGTCTCAAGGAGTTCTTGGCATGCTGGAGAGCTTCGAGAACACCCCCCAAGCTGGTGGCAGCTGATGGAGATTGTTTCATGTAGGACAGATCATGAGTTGCTGATGATTCCCATTTAGGTCTCTCTCTCACGGGATCAGCAGTTGAAGGGCTTCCAATTGATGGTGAATTAATATGGCTATGTGCATGTAAATTGATATTGCTACTAGACCCGCTGTCAGAGTTTTGATTGACTTTCCCAAGTGGAGTTGAAATGGTGCTTACTTTTGTGGGAAGTGCAACCACAACAAGACCTTCAGTGTTGTTTTCTGCCACATTATTGCCATCAACACAAGCTTGAGAATCACTTCCAATCCCACATACAGGTAGATCAGTTGGCACGATGGCATTGGAGAATTCAATGATATTTACATCTTTGTCTCCATCAGCAGTTCGTTGATCTGTGCCATCTGATAATTTAAGCAGAGGATCATCAGATAGACATCCAGGTATGTCGGTCCTGGAGAAAGCACAAATACTTGATTTTGCCTCTTCATATTCATATGCTATTCTGTCAAAAAATGCAGATGACTCTTTCTGGGATTTCATATTAATTTCAGCTGCATGACACTGCTTCCCAGGTTCAAAGTGTTCCTAGATATCAAGATGAGAAAAAAAAGATTGACACAAAGTATAGACAAAAGGTATAATGCAATTAATAACGTACATTCAGTATGAGCACAGATTACATGAGTACCTGGAAAATTTGACTACAATCTGCAGCTTGTGATCAGAGCAATTATATAAAATATAGACAATAAAAGGTGGGATCAATGAACCAAGCACTAGTAAAAGTCTAATTTCATATCAAGAGAATGAATAACCAAAATTTATGCAGAAATTCCAATAAAGATAGAGGAGATCAAGTTTTTATTCTTAAACTTGGCTTAATATGGAACCAAGATTGACAAGGTCAGCTGATGGCTATTTCATATATGCGGAGAAAAAGGGTGCAAAAAATATTTTCATGCGTGCATATCTAGAAAGGACCTAGAAAGAGCATAGCACGCACACACACACACACACATATAAATAAATAAAAATATATATATATATATATATATATATATATATATATATATATATATATATATATATATATATATATGTATATATATGTATATG